ACACCCTCTATTTGCCTCAAGTTTTCCCTAATGTGCTCCTGGGAATTGTACTTCTTGGATATGGTGAGTTCAGGAGAAGTTGAAGAGAAGCAAGCTTAGAAACCACAGTTATGCATTCAGATTGATCTTTTGTGTACTTTCTTTCTTGGAGGAGAAAATTATGAAATGCCAGCATTTTTCTGTGAATGGAAAAAGTTTAAATTAAAAAAAAAATCTCTCAGTTGTTTTCTTGCTCAAGTGCACTCTGACAGCAAGATGGAAAGCTAGTGCAATCTAAACAGGATGATACCACATTGAGAATATTTTCTAAATGTTGTGAAATTTCCTCACCTCTTGTTTTTAGACTTTGGAGTGGCGGCAGATTCTGTCTCCTCTTGCAAACCTGGCCTAAGTTATCCCAGACTTGTCAATGTTGGACCGCGTCCACTAGGTGGCAGTATGTCAGAGGATTTCTTTTAATTGGCTGAGATATCTTGGCTTGCCAGTAGTGAGATTTTTCTTTCTGTTCTGTTTTTGAGGGGTCAAACAAAGCGGCATAATTTAGGCCCAAATTATGCTTCTCTAAAAATATATAAATTTGCGGAAAATCCTACTTATTATAGTGTAACTATGATAAGTTCATTCATTCACATCAGTTTTCTTGGTAACATAACTGATCCTAGTTGTCATGGGTAGTTTTTGGAAACCAAGGGCAATTCTTTTTGTCCTTCACGTATAACAGATGCTAAAAGTGCTGTATTTAGAGAAGGCAGATTTCTGATCCTCCCGAGGAGCAGGACATTGGTTTCTTTCTTAGTAATTCTCAGTTAAGAGACAATTGTACAGAGGGCCCTCTGCCCAGCTTCCTTACCCCGAACTGTGCCTGGCTTCTGCTGAGAGGTTTTCTGGGCAGAATGTCAAAGCTATCTACTTTTTTTTTTAAATGCAATTCTGTGGCAACATTGGATTGCATTGGATATTTATCTCAGAGAGTTAACTGCATTATTATTAATTCACAATTACTTTTAAAACAGAGATAAGACACATATAACATTAATCAGATGAAAGAGGTTAATCTTTCATCTGATTAATCTGCTCAGAGAAAAGGAGTTATTTTAGTGTTTCTCCCAAATTAGATGATTAGACTTTTCTGAACTTAAAGAAACCAGAAGGCATGTCTAAATGATAAGATTTGGGAATAAAGAACTCTGCAAATTTTGAAACACTCTAATTAATGTGACAGAAGTAGAGGACCAATTTGGATGAAGATCACTGTAAATGCAAAGCTTAAAACATAATGGAATTATCAGTTGGGTAAAGCTAGGGTACTTCTTCACATGGTTTCTTACAATCTTTGAAATGGAAAGTATTTAGGGACCTTCAAGAACAATCCTGTCTTGGAAAGTACATACCAAAGTATCTGATCTTTAAGAAAAAAATGACAAGATGGAGTGATTCCCGACCTGTGGGCTGGACTTGATGGGGTCTCATCTGGGGACCTGAAACCCCTTCATGCACAGGCCTGGCCAGGTTCTGGGTGAGTGTGTGTGTTGGGGGTTGGGGAGGTGAGGAGGCATCACCAGCGCATCCCTTGGACATGGCTTCACCATTTAGAAGCCAGCTGTTTCCTGAAGCTCCTTAGCTTCTGAGACCAAATTTCTCCATATCTGGGTGTTTTTCTTCTTGGTTGGTCAGATTCCCAACCTAAGTGAAACTCCTGTCAGAGTTCCTGCTTCAGGGAGGGAGCTACCCTCTCAGACAAATATCTTCCCTCTTCCCACTTCCTTCTAGGTTCTCCATCTGGAAACAGTTAGCCTGTCCTTATCCCGCCCCCCTTTTAATACTAGAAAGAGGGGGAAAGTGGGAATATGTGATAGTACAAAAAAGTCTGAACTTAGGGCAGTGCCTGGGAGGAGACATAGCAAGGCCTACTCATTTCATCCCATACTCATCCTTCCCTTTTGGAGACCAAGGAGCTCCATCCCTCCAGGTGTGGAGAGGGCATCTCTCCCCTCATGACCTGCTTCATGGCAGAAGAAGGAGTACCATGTTCTTAGCCCTGTCACAGGCCACTGGTGCTTCTCCCAGCTAGCATATCTGTGTGTGATGACTATAACTTTTCAAGAGGTATGAACAGATAGCTCCAGGAGTCAAAAGTAGATTCAAACCCAGCTTCATGAGGTGAGTCTTTTAGTCTGCACCATTTCCCAGTCTGATAATGAGGTTGAGTCACTCAACTTTTGATTCTAACTAGAATCAAATATGATTCTACAAAGGGAAATACTTTTTTGGCCACAAATATACACATTCATTGAATTTTCAATATATGAAATCTGCAGAAGTTATGAACATATAATAAATCTAAGACTATGTAAGAGACATCATCATTATAAGCATTCACAGAAACAATTAGTAATGTTTCTCAATGCCTGCTGAACAGTAGAAATACTTACGGAAGTTTCTTTTAAAAACTGCCAGGCCAGCCCTCCCTGGTGGCTCAGCAGATTAAAGCACAGCACTGCAAGCTAGCAGCAGCCACTTCAGTGCGAGTTTGATCCCTGGCCCTGGAGGAGATCCACATGATGCAACAGACCTCTCCTGGCCCGCCCGCTGCTCCCCTCAGCGGTGTACTTCGTTGTTCTGCCAGTTCTGCTCCCCACTCTATCTCTGGTGAATCCTCTCACCGCCCCTGTACCTCTGGCCTGTACCTCAGCGCTGTATGCATAAATAAATACATCTTTAAAAAAATTTTAATTAAAAAAAAGAAGTTGCCTGTCCAGGGAACTGTCCCACATGGTGCAGCAGACCTCTCCTTTCTTGCCTACTGCCCCCCTCAGCAGTGTATTTCAGTAGATCTGCTTGTTCTGCTCCCCACTGTGTCTCTGGTGAATCCTCTTACCCTCCACACTTCTAGCCTACACCCTATTTCTTGTAAGCATAAACAAATAGTAATCTTTAAAAAAAAATCCTGCTAAGTCAATAGTTGGGGTCAGGTCAGGGCCCCTCAAAGTATAAAAACTGAGGAGAATCTTAAATTTATGGTTGTTTTCATGCACATAAATAACAGTAATGTTATTGTTCAAGGAATTGGGGGTGAAATGGGGGGTTCAAGAACAGCTATTAAAAAACTCATGTTTTGTATCCTGAGCTTAAAGACTTATCATGTGCTCCCTCTTCCACATGGAAACTTCCCTACGGCGTTTCTGAGAGAAATTCAGTTTTTGGCTATGTACCCACCGATGTAACATGAAAGCAGGATTACCTCATGGGTCTCTAGCTAGAGTTTTAATTCATTCTGGGTCATGATGCCTTTTTTTTTTTTAAATGAATGTTTAATTTCTCAATGTTGCTGGTTATTGCATTTCTCAATGTTGCTGGTTATTACTTGTAATGAAAGATTTTGTGACAGCTCAGCCCTAGAAGCCACTGATTAAATAGGCAGAAGTTCATTCCCAGGTGGGAGAGAACAAACTTCCCTGCCCAGTTAATCAGTGACTGAGTCTGCTGTTTTCTTGGTCCTGCATCTCAGGCTTAAAGAAAATTTAAGATTTGCTACCTCTGACATTATGAGGATGTAAAAAAACCTCTCAAACTAGGCCCAAGGCTAGCTAGCTCATCTGTTAGAAATGCCAGTTCTCAGGCTCCTCCCTAACACATACTGGATCTGGAGGGCTGGAGATGGGCCTGAAGGCTGTTTCCAAACACCCTCCAGCAGTATGAGGCAAGCTCACACCTGAGAAACACTGAGCTAGTAACCATATGTGTTTCTCTCAGTCACAAGTGTGTTTGCATAGAAGCATGAAATGGACATTTGTAGGTACATGTAGGTATACTTAGGTTTGTTTCCTTCTTCCCTGCTCCCTGTCCCGTTGATGATGGAGATAAGAGCTCGATGGAAAATGAGCTTTAGATCTCTAAATCGATCAGTCTGTCTGTCTATCTATATCTAGTTGTCACACTATCATCTATACGTCTGCCTCAGAGTTCTCCTCCAACCACTCAACGAACTTAAGCTCTATGATCTACCTTTCAAACATCATTGGATGGGGTGAGAGTGGCAGGGGGAGGGAATGGTTAGTGTGGATGTTCACCCCAAAAATAAAAATAGAGAGATTTTCCCCCATATATCTTGTGTCCAGATACCTGAGTTTTACTAGACACCTGCCAAGTATCTACAGGCACTATCTCATTTAATCGTCACAACTACCCGAGCTAAAGTGGTCATTAATACCCTCAGTTTATGTAAGTGGTCGAGCAGGGGTTTAAAATGAGGTCAAGCCCAAGTTTTCATGCACTTTGCTTTACCAGTTATTGACAGCTCAGGTCTTGACCCAGTGGGGCCTGGGGCTACCGCTCTGATCTTTCATGCTCGGACTCCACTAGAGATATGCAGCCGCCTATGCTCTTCATGTGCTTGTGTCCTCTGTTTCTGGCAATGTTTCAGGTTAATTGCTCTAAAAGCTACTCTAAAAAAGTACTCTAAAAGCTCCTAGATATCTCTGTAGTACTTTAAATACACAATGACATTTTAAAACAAAAAATGAACCACTGGGAACTGGGCACCATTCTGTTTCCTGTGGGCCAAGCTCTAGTGTTACAACAGAAATTTGCTAATAAAATACTTTAAAAGAGCCTCCTGGAAGACTTAAGTGGGTTAATATTCTCCTGTAATTGTTACTTTCTTAGTTAAGTCCCTCTCTGTTTGTGTACCTACTACAGAATTTTAATTATGTTGTTATTCCATGTTCTATGACTTACATTATCTTTTATTTCCTCTTATGGCCCAGAGTATTTTGTCAGGTGGTGTGCAGGTGGGGTAATTTTTAAGCACATCAACATTTTGGGGGTGAAACTTCCCTTGATAGCTACTAGAATGTCAAGGAATTTCACTGCTTCTGTGCTTCTAGCATTACTGGAAGGAAGGAAGGTGAATTTATTACATGTTCAACAGTCGTGAATTCTTTCTAGTTAACTAAAAGAGTGAGCGATTACTGAAGATCCTTGTTTTCTTTTTATTTCAGGAATTGCAGCATATTGTTAGAGCACAATATGTCAGAGCAGAAAAAGGTAAGCCTGGCTCAACATGAACATTAGCAGGCCCTCAGCGCCCCTACCTATTAGGCTAATGTGCTTTTTTCTCATCTCCAGCTATGGTGGACGATTCCGGGTTAGATCTGGCCAGGAGGGGCAAGCCTGCCATGCAACCCTTTGCTCATCTCACTATTAACGCCACTGACATCCCCTCGGGTGAGTTGCATTTACATGTGGCCAAAGAAAAAACGTTTCAAGAGTCGTTATCAGCCTAGCTGAGTCAAACCTATCATTAGCCGCCTTACTATCTTTTTGACAGCCTTTAACTTCTACACCAAAAGAAAGGTCATTTCATCTTCAGTTAATGATCCACAGTGTGGAAACAGTGGTGTGCGATCACTCCAGAGGCCTATCATCAGCATATTCGTCACTAGGTCCCCAGTGGCTATGTATTTTAAATGACTGTCAGTTCAGGGTGCAGAGCTGGGAAGGACAATCCCTTGTTATGCTCATCTATGTTTAGTCAAACTAAAGTTGTGTGTCCCCCCCGGCTGGCCTCTGAGGCACGTGAATCCATCCAGGTCACTGAGCACTGCACGTAGTTCCTCAATAGAGGGATATTTAGAGGCAGGAGTCCTCCAGAAACTGAGACCTGGCCTCTGTTCTCCAGGGGCTTCGCGTGTCCTCCTGGTGAGCGGGAGCTCAGTGGGCGGGAGGCCTGTCGGAAATGAGGAGACCGAAAGCTTGCAGCTCACATCTGTCCTACAGCCCTACTGTTTTATTATAACCCCACTGTTACTCCATCAAAGAAAGTACTCTGTAGGGTGACGAGTGAACCTCACTGTACAGCTGTGCCACTTACTGCGCATACACTGTGCCTTGGGCATTTGCTCTGGAGGCATTATCTCGAATCCTTATTACACCCCTGCAAGGTTGTGATTATCTTCAGATTTGGCAGACATGGAAACTGAGGTTCGCACCCTCTGAGTTATCTGCTCCAGGTTGCAATGGTGGCAGAATTAGAAGTTGAGCTCTGCTCTCGTTGATTTCCATGTCTGTGCTTTTCACATTTCAGTAAGTTATGTAAGTACTTGATGGCTAATTGGTTGGACATAAATTTAGAGAGCTCCCATTCCTCTTTCCCTAAGATAAGTACACTAGTTAATTTTAGTAGCAGGGCTTTAAAATCTACCTATGTGGGTTCAAAGTCCCACTGTCTACTAACTGCCCGTATGACCTTGTGCAAGTCTGTTATTATTGAATGCATTCTTGCATCTGCTGCTTCATAGGCCTCCTGAGAGCAACTGTGGCCTAGCTTGGAAGGCCGTGTCTGAACAAGCTTCTGTAGAGCTGGTATAAAGTCAACCCTCAGTGAATGCAATTTTTTATTATTATTTGAGTTTAATTAAATAATTATTCATGTTCTACTGTGTGCTCAAAATGATTTAAGGCAAGTTTTTCTTAGAGTTGAAAAGTTCCAAGTCATACTATATGATTTTGAAGCCATTGTCCTACTGTGGGCCAACAAGGGATTTTTCCTGACGACAGACCTAGGAAGTGAGGAGCCAACCCTTGGCTTTTAGGAGATTTTCTATCCTGTTCCAGATACTTGCTTCATAAACAAATTTCCTCCCTCTATGTACGTGTACCGTATGGTGGGGCAACCCTAATTTTTGAGTGGAAATCTATTTTGCATGTTAGCAAAGGCAATCAAATTAATATGATGAATCAGTTGTGTATGCTATGAATGTACTCCATATTTATCTTTTCAGTTCATTTTAAATGCCATATGATAAATATTGCATCAGACTGTGTGCCAAAGTCGATTTGGCAATAACAAGCATGTTTTAGTTATAAAGCTGTCTCCTCAGGCACCTAGCATCAAGTCATTGCCAAAAAACAGGGCACAACTCTGGTTATTTTCCTTTGATTATTGAGTTAGATTCTGTGTGAAATGAGTTTGTATATGCTTCTGTTTAAGAAAATAGAATTTGCTTTTCTGGCTGGGCCAACAACTCATTTTATCCACATATGTCCCAGCCTTGGCCAAAACTGGCTATTACAGAAGAAGAGGGCTGTCATTGTGCCTATACATTTGGGGCTCTGTTTTATACTTATTTACACATAGGAAGTCAGAATATGCCTTGTAGGCTGGTTATATTCTGCATTTCCAAAACGTCTTAAATAAAATGCACTGGGAAATATTTAGGGAGATCCAGAATATGTGGTTTTCTTAGCTAACTATTTGGAGAGGCCTCTCTCCCACGTGCAATGCAGTGACCACAGGACCTGGGAGGCGGGGTGGGGGTCGGGGGAGGAGGTCTCCCATGTCTCATTAGCCCTGGACGCCTGGGGCCGACATGAATGCCTTCACCCAGACTGCTCACCTCTTCTCCCACTATTGCCGACTCAGAATCCTCTATCCTCCAGTTGACACTGCTGACTTCCCCCCTCCTCCTCTGTATGCTCCACAAGTTCGCTCATTGCTTGAACAGTTTTCCCCCCAGGCTGTTCTTCCTCCCCCTACCTCACCCACTTTGGAGCCAAGTCCTCCTTGTCTATTGACTCCTTCATGACTCACTCAGCTGAGCTCCCCGCATCACTGTGAATTTCTGAAGTGTTTACTTGGCTGTTGCTTTTTCCGTATTTCAGCCCCATGCTCATGACAAGCAGAATTGAAACTGCTATTTTTCTGATGATTTTTTAAAACCCGTTTGTATGATGCTAAGACTGTAGACTGTGTGGGTGCACTGCTTTGTTATAATTCCTAGTTGTGGGCAGAGAGAATACCCATAGAAAGCACCACAGATATTTATCAAATGATCAACTGAATGAATCAAAGTAGATGAGTGAATGGACAGATGTGGAGATATGCTCAGTGGGAAATAAGGACTCTCCTCTCACTTGACTTTACCTAACAGTGTGTTAAGTTCCCATCTTCTCTCCTCTCTGTTGCATATTCCTTCCTCGCCTTCCCATGCTTTATCATGGAGTCCTTGGTCTAGCATGAGATGATCCATCCCATTGAGAGGGTAGACTTCACCTTTGTCATTCTGCAACTTTGTGTTAACAATCTTATAGAAGAAGACAAACAATTGGCTGACTAAAGCATTGAATGAAGGAATCGAGTAAGAAGGAAAGAGCCATAGTATAATTTGAGAAAAGAAACATCTTGAATTGTCTTAGCTTTGTCAGTCGGTGAGGTAACTTGTTTATCTGTCTAGAAGAATTACTTTATTAGTATTTATGAGGGTGTGATGAATAGTCAGGTAGTCTCATCTGGACTCAATATCATGAGATAATATTTATATTTGGGATGCTTTATTTAATCTAAGACCGCACTTCCAGTGAAGTGCTGTATTTTGGTGGGTGCTGGAGGTGGCAGTGTCTGTGATGGCTTGCTCTGGTGCCCTCCTGTGGGTCAGATGGGGTGTTAAGAAAATATATTATCCCCAGACAGAGGAAATAGAACCATTACCTTCTTGACCTTCACAGGCTAGCCTAGTGGTAGATTGCCTCACTGTACCTTGGCCCCTTTGGAATTTTTCTTCCATTTACACTGCCACCTAGATAGTTCTTGGAACAACCTGGCATTAGGTTCTTAGGCCATCTCACAGCCCATCACTGGCCCTTCAGAGACAGAAGAGCATATTCCTTTTTGTGGCTCGCCAGAAAGGATGAGGTGTTCAACTGCCCCAGGATTCAGGCAGCTTGGGAAGGTAGCTGGTGTGAGTTTCTGATTCTAGGCTCTTCCAAAGACTCCGTAGGCTGGATCTTTGGAATCCACTTTAATCTAAGTCTTGCGGGCTGATTATTTTGGGTGATATGTAGCAAAGAACTTCTCCCTGGCTATAGAATTGAATTCCAAAGCCAGTCTGAAGCTCCTCTATTTTGCCTTGCTGAAATCCTAGTAGATGGTAGTTTTAAGTTAACATTTAAGTATTTGCAAAATCTCCTGGAGGGAAAAAATGTATTTGTATTTCTACAATGTAACAATTTTGCCTCCATTAGTTTACACCTTTACTAGTTGGATAGTAGGTGGCCACATAAATGTGAGTGCTTGTTAGTTGGGTTTATCAGTGAGATATTTCCAATTTTTAAATCTATGAAAGAACAGACAAAAGACCTGAAATATCGAAAGCACTGGACATGTTACTGATCTAGAAGATTTTAAAGAAACTTATTGCTCCCAAAATAGTAGAATGATGATCATTTGTCATACTTTAGGTGTGAGGAGAGGTTATGGGAGAATTCTGGTCAATCAGTGGAGAATTTATGATGCTTTGGTCACAAAGAATTGTGTGAAATTGAGGAGTGCAAAGCCAAGAAAGTTTTCTTTATCATCTTACCTGGGGGCAACTTTTCAGTTGTATGTATCTCAAAAGCATTTGAGGTATTTAGAGGAAGGGAAAATAGTAATGAGAATAGAGTTTGAGCTTGATCATTTGGTCCATCTCTTTCTACCCCTGTCCATGAATTAGAGAAAGTAGAGTCACGTGGATTCTGGAAGTTCTCTTCTTATTCTTGTTTCTTGCTTTCCCATCACAGTTGCCTTTGGCTCATTCTCTCCTTCAACCCCAAATGACCTTTCTGCTTCTGTTGGTGAGTCCTCTTCCTCCTTTAAGTTCTCAGACTCAGTAGCAACTCAACAAAAGTATTGCTGATTCTTCTGGGGTGAAATAGTCTCCTTCTTGGCCTGTGTAGGAAAAATGAGATTTCCATGTGGATAGGAAACATGAGATTTCATCCCTGTATTCTCTCTGAGGCCTCACAGGGAACACTAAGTATGGTTATGCATTTCTCTCCTTTTAGAAAATAAGTTCTGAGAAGTTATTCTTCTGTTGAGACAGACTCTTGTGCTATACTTTTTTCTTCGACCTCATCAAATTATTGGGTGACTTTCTCATAAAAGGTGTTTTTTAAAAATCATGTGCCTCTCCTCTCTTCAGGTTCCCATAAAGTGAGTCTGTCATCTTGGTACCATGATCGAGGTTGGGCCAAGATATCCAACATGACTTTCAGCAATGGAAAATTAATTGTCAACCAAGATGGCTTTTATTACTTGTATGCCAACATCTGCTTTCGACATCATGAAACTTCAGGAGACCTAGCTACAGAGTATCTTCAACTCATGGTGTATGTCACTAAGACCAGCATCAAAATTCCCAGTTCACATACCTTGATGAAAGGAGGAAGCACCAAATATTGGTCGGGGAATTCTGAGTTCCATTTCTACTCCATAAATGTCGGAGGATTTTTTAAGCTACGATCTGGTGAGGAAATAAGCATTGAGGTGTCCAACCCTTCACTACTGGATCCAGATCAAGATGCAACCTACTTTGGTGCATTTAAAGTTCGAGATATAGATTGAGTTCTATTTTCTGGAGTGTTATGCTTATTTCCTAAGATGTCCAAAAAACTTAAAAAAAAAAAAAACAAAAAACAAACAACAACAACAACAACAACAAACCCAACTAAGAAGGATGTATGTATATAGATGTGTGAGACTACTAAGAGCTATGACCCACATGGTACAATTCATGGAGACTACCCATGCTTTTGACTCTGTAGAGAGCAAGTGTATCCATAGCCAAAGGAGGAGTTGAGCTCAAACTGTATGATGAGTCTAAAGGCTTTCTTACACAATGGTTTTTAAATTTTGTAATGAATTCCTAGAATTAAACCAGGTTGGAGCAATTATGACTGCCTTTACAGAAAACTACATTTGGGCTGTAGGAGGGGTTAGTTCTCTGGAACATGCCCGTGGCTATGTGCCACTGAAGTGGAGAGGACATCATCTAATTGCAAATGGATGATTATGTGACGGTTAAGTTCTTTTGAATTGTTACATCATGCTGGAACCTGCAAATAGATACTTTTTCTAATGTGAGAAAATATATGTATTTTTATATAATATCTAAAGTTATATTTCAGGTGTAATGTTTTCTGTGCAAAGTATTGTAAATTATATTTGTGCTATAGTATTTGATTCAAAATATTTAAAAATGTCTTGCTGGAGACATATTTAATGTTTTAAATGTACAGACATATTTAACTGGTGCACTTTGTAAATCCCCTGGGGAAAACTTGCAGCTAAGGAAAAAATATGTAGTTTGCTAATATCAACTGTATTATATTTCTTCTTTCCTTTTAAATTAATAGATTTTTCAGACTTGTCAAGTCTTTGCAAAAAAATTAAAATGGATACCTTGAATAGTAAGTAGAATGTTGACCACCATGTGCCTTTCAAATTTAGAATCTAATTGACTGCAGAAAGCTGACATTGCCAAAAAAAGAGACATAATGGTCTACTGGAATCTGTCAAGAGTATTTCTATAATTATTGAACAGGTGTTTTTTTTTTTATTTTCCTAGCAATGCTGCAAATTATCAGCAAAAAATTAAACCCAATTTTTAATTTAGTGGAAGTTATTCTATACTGTACAATAACAACATTGCCTTGGAATGTTATTTTTTTGGTACGGAAATAAATTTATAAGAAAACCTACCCTGTGACTTGGTGGTTCTTTTTTTGTATCTACTCTGTCTTGCTGTGTGACCCTGTTTTCCCCAATATGGTAATGTACTTCTATTTTTCCAAAGGTTACTGAGAGAAATGCAGATGTAATTAAAAAGTAGGTACAGATTCAATTAAATTAATGAACCTTGGAATTTGAAAAATCATTTGCATCGGGTTTGTATGCAAGAATGTAGTGAGATAGGAAAACAGAGGCTTCCTCACTTTAGAAAGAAGTTTGTTATGCTTACAGCATGAGAAACTATGGTGCTTTGCACAAATTGACAGTGTCCTACAGAACAGCCAATTGATCTAGAGGAACCCCTGGGCATTGCCTGCCATCCCACAGTGAGGAAGGATAAGTGATGGACTGAACACTTGACCTCATGGAAACTTATATGGGGTGCTTCCTCACTAGGTTGGCTATTCACTGGAGGGAGAAAACGAGCAATCCAGTAAGGTACAAGAAGCCATAATTTAAGAACTTGCCACTTGTGGGTACATGCTTCTTAATGGCTGTGACAGGAGAGGAGAGAAATAACAGATGCAAGGGCAGTGAGAGGCTTCACCAGAAACAGACTGGGGAGCAGAACAGGCAGATCCAAGTACACTGCTGAGGGGAGCAGTGGATGGGTCTGGAAAGGTCTGCCATGCCGTGTGGGTCACTCGTGCTGAAACAGCTGTGGCTAGCTTCAATGCTGCGTCCTAACCCGTTGCGCCAACAGGGAGGCCCAGTTGCTATATCTTATTGAGATGGATCAGATCATGTCAACGCTCAGCAAACAGCTAAGTGAAAGTGTTGAGGAATGACAACAATTGCGTCACGAGACTGGCACATACCAGATGCTATAGCAAAGTGAATTGTTCATGTAAAATATCTAATTTCAATCTTCTCCCAACATATGTCAAATCTGAAGGAAGGAAAGCACCCAACATTTAAGTCATCTGTCCTCTTCAGTCAACTTTCACAACTGTACTGGATTTGTACACCCTTGCCTCTTTCTAAAACTACAAGTTAAGTGATTCTTAGTGAAATTGATTTCTCCCCTTTTTTTCATCTCCACTAGGACATTCTTTAAAAAAAAAAAAAAAAACTGAGATGCTGACCTATTCCCCCAGGGACTTAGTTGGCAACCCAAACAGTTCAAGTCTCATTCTTTCTTTTCCTGTCTAGTTATTGATTTGGTGTGGGGTAGTGGCACCAGGTTATACTTGTACTATTGAGAATCCAACTTGGACCTTGCATTGCACCTTGAGCCTGTGGAGTCACTCTGAGCATGTTAGGCATGTGCTCGTCTCACTTTTAGCTTTGTTAATCAATCCCTTAGCTTCCTTCTATGAAATTGAAATATGTTTCCCTGTAGCTGCATTTATAAATGCTAATTAGTTATTGATTCACATTATTATGATTTAGCCTTGTGTCACTTTTTACAATAAAAAATTTGTATACAGTATTAGATTTTACCTGTCAAACAGAATGTATCCTTTTGAATAATAATACTTTTATGATATGCCTACTCTGGAGTCTTATAATTTAGAAATTCGGTTCTTAATCATCTCCCTCCCACTCACCTCCCTTCTCTTCTGTTGGCTGATTTTCTTTACAAGCCTTGTTCCACATTGGTAAATGCTCTGCCTATTGGTAGTGCTAACTCTGATATTACCAGATGTAGGTTAATTAAAACAATTTATTCATATTGCTACTGACTTTCAATATAGAGAAATCTTACAGAATCTTGTTTTGAAAATTCCAAGAGGTATTCCTGTGTATTGGCAAAAGAATGAGTTAGAAGTTGCTTATTTTACTAGGAGATTCCAAAACTTAGGACTTGGGGATCAGGGCTGATTTCACAGACTTTAAATTCTCCTACCAACAATAATAGGCATTCAATACCCAAAAGTCATGGATGTCAAACTCTTGAGCAGGAACCATTTTCTTTCTTCTCCTATGTATTCTGCAAAACTAATTCCCTCAAAAGCCTGATCATAACAATCTCAGGTTAACAACAAAAGCCTCTCCTGAGATGTCAACTTCTGTAGATGGGAAATTGATTATTTGGGTATCAGCCAGACCAGGGTTGGAATCTGAACTCTGCTGCCTGGCAGCTTTGGGCTGGTGGCACCAGGTGAAGCAGACCTCCTGCTGTCTGTTTTGAAGAGTTGTGAGGATTGGCAAGTAGTAGGAATGTAACAAAGAGAAGCCATCACTTTTGTCTTCCCACCCATTTGCTTTAGCTTTAGCTCCCAGCTCTACTTAGTTCAAAACCTGTCCTCATTTTCTCACATTGTTCTGCACAGATTGAATTGAACAAAGTACAGTCAGTTTTCACTTAAGTCATGGGTAGGTCCTTAGGATCTGTGATAAGCTAAATGACTATAACAAAAAAGTCTTTGAATAATGTGTATTGTAAAATGGTGGCTGGGATATTTTCTCTCTCCTCAATATTATAATGGAGTGATGTTCAACCAAATGACATTATTGGATAAACTGGCTTACTGTGCTCTGCAAGGGGGAGATAACCAGCTCAATATTGTATTAATTTCTGAGGGTTGGGTTGGTATCAACTAGTGTAAATAGGGTAGCTTAAAACAACTAAATTGTTATTCTCTAATGTTGCGGAGGCCAGACATCCAAAATCAAGATGTTAATGGGCCAGACACCCTCTGACGGCTGCGAGGGCAGCTTCCTTGCTTTTCTATGGAGCTTGGCTTTCCGCACTTGGAGCAGCATTGTTTGAATCCGCACTTCTATTGTTACAGGGCCATCATCTCTGTACCTTCACAGGCCTACTTCCAGTGTGTTTCTGAGCCTACATATCTTCCCCTCCTCATCAGACACGTGTGAATGCATTTAGTACCTACCCTCACCCAACTCAACATGATCTTACCTTGATTTCATTTGCAGGAATCCTCTTTCCAAATGAGGCCACTCATTTGGTAGACATGAAGTTTCGGACAACACAACCCAGTACCGATATCAACAGACTTAGTGTCCAAGAAGGAAATAAAGTGTCGAAAATCCCAAACATAAATGAGTTAGAATGCCAGTAATGCCAGAAGAGAGGTAGAAGCAATGTGCTATTGAAACTTACAACTCAAAAGCCCAGTGAACACTTATTTTCATTGCAATAGGAGTGAACTCATACTTGAATGTGAATAACTCTGTTGTGTTTGTGTTGACAGCTTATCTCCAGGAGAGTATTTTGAGATTAAGACAAGGATCGTTGGCACCTGCCCTCCCTCTGTGGTCTAATCCATGCACCGTCTACTTCCAAACCTGTCCCCACCCCTCACCTGGGCCCTTGCTGACACCTGTGACCATGGTTTGTGTATGTTTCTTCTTTCTAATGATGAACATGGTATTGTCCAGAGTTGGGAGTCAAGAGGAACTTATTTAAAAAGAGGTCATCTCCAACAACATGGAAAAAGATGGAGAAAATGTCCTGTCTTGAAGTCCCAGAGTACCGAAGGGGGCCTAGCTTGCTGGAGGCGTTCCCAGAGAGATGTGCAGGGTGCCCTACCTGTATGAGGGGGTGTGCAAGGTGGTCGCATGAGTGACCAGAGCAGGCAAGGCGGTGCAGAGTAGAGACCCATACCTGCGACTGAAATCTCCGCTAAGGTACTGGCATCCTCATGATCTGAGATTAATAATCCATTTCTGCCGGGAGTAGTAGAAGAGCAGGGTTTGCCCACCCACTGTGCGATGCGGCAGCAACAGGAGCAGAGGGAACCCGGCCGCGAGCTTGGTGGACCTGCTGCTCCTGTGTGGTGCTGTCCTCGATTCCTCTCTGGAGTTCCAGTGCTGAGGACTTGGTTAAGTGTAAAGTAGCTTATTCAAAGTTAGAAGGAAAATATCCTGGGTCCTCATCGGATA